CAAGGAGCACCTATGCAGCTCCTGCCATGGCACTGAGCTGCCCCCATGCAGGCCTAGCACCCGTGGGGGGCAGGGGACCAACTGGGTATCACCTCATCTTCTGGGGAGTCACCCCCCCTTCTGGGGTGTCACCCATTGCTGCATGCACCCCCCCACACACATGGATGCTACTGAGTTCAACCATCCCCATCCAGGGTGTTGGCAATCCATAACAATCCATAACAGCCTAGCAACAACAGTACATATATCCAGTTGGTGACATAACCCATCATGTACACTGGAGATACCAGCCTTTTCCTTGGTCCTCATTGTTTTTATATAGAAATAGATGGTAGCATCCATAACTATCATCAATGAGAACAAAGGCTAACAGAGTGAAGTAGGTATCTAAGGTAGCAGATGGTGGATGTCATGAAAGAGTAGAAAAATTAAGCTTAGTTTGTTATCATTGCATTTTTTACAGCCAGTTATGAGGAGGGACTTGTGAGCTTTTCTGCTTCATTTCTCAAAATTATTTGGCTGGCTTTAGACATTACACACTTTAGCTTAGGGCACCACTTATTGATTAGACTCAGGCAGCAAAATATTGAGTCCTACCCGCAATTATTTTTTAACATTTTCTTTCTCTGAGACATGGATACACAATATCTAGAATGAGTGCAAATTGAAATTTGTTTGCTTCAAATGACTACTATTAGGGGAACGTGTCTTTCCACTGAATTCTGATAACCTGAACTCATCATAACAAGTAAATGCTGCAGGAAACCTGCAGTAATTTAATGGGCACTTACTATCTTCTCAATAGCTACAGAGAAGATAAGGATACAAGAAAGCTCCTTTCCGTACCTGTCTAGGAACTGTTACAAATAACCCTACTGACAAAAACTGGTGGTAAGCATTCAGTATGGTATCTACAGAAAGCAGAAATTTCAAAAACATAGAGTTGTCCCTCCTTGTCCACGGATTTTTTTTATTCATGAATTCAAGCATCCACGACTTGAAAATATTCAAAAAAAGTATACATTCCAAATAGCAAACCTGGATTTTGCCATTTTATATAAGGGACACCATTTTGCTATGCCACTGTATTTAATGGGACTTGAGCATCCACAGATTTTGTTATCCATGCAGGGCCACAAATAACAAGGGGCCACTGTAATGTTTTAATAAACAATGTATTGCATGACTTCTCTCCAGTGGGAGTAGAAATTGAGTTAGTTTCTTTAACTCTACCACTCCAGTGTCTTTTTGGAAATGTTTGTATCAGCTAGGTATTGTTGTTAGCAGACACTGCTTATCTAGGAACTCAGCCACAGTACAGAATGCTTTTATTATAGAGAATTCATGCAGTAAGTCATTTATAAACACATTTCTGGAAGCACAGATATGTGCATCTGCATTCATTTTGTACTCATTCTTTTTGTTACACTATTTTCTAAGGTAGCTTCTAGTAGTTTGATTTCTCTATAATATTTATTATATTACTTTTGACATTGTTTTATGTGGCATTCTATTTGGTTCTGTATATATTCCTATTTATTTGTTATCCATATGGACTGTAACTGTTATCTTCATTTATTTTGTCGTTAGGCTGGAATTCTCTGTCATGGTCTACATTACATAACTTTATGTACATTGAGCTACGTTGCAGAGGTGCTAAGAAACCTGTTAGTAAATTGTAAAGATACATTAAGGGAACACTAACAAAAATGTCCTGATGGGCATCAGCACTCCTTAGCTGGTGTACCAATGCACATGAACATTGGTCCCATTGTGCATCGGTCACTTCGCGGCTCTCCTACATGGTAATGTAACAGCAGCCATAGACTGGATATGGATGTTACTGAACTGCCCAATTTTAATTCCCACTGATGTACATCCACTTACAAAGATGAAGTCCTCAACAGATTCTAGTCTATATTCTTTAATATTCTTTGTCCATGGTTTTGTAATGGCCATTTACATGGGAACCATGACCCACCACTATGTTTCTGGTGGTTTTATTTCTTCAGTTCATATTTTGTTGTTGTTAACTGACCTTGAATCGATCCAGACCCATAGCGATCCTGTGGATGAGACAGCTCCACGATTCCCTATCTTCCACTGCTTTGCTCAGGTCCTGTAAATTTATAGCTGTGACCTCCTTAAGAGTCCATCCATTTAGCATGGGGTCTTCCTCTCTTTCTACATCCCTCTCTACCTTTCCTAGCATTATTGTCTTTACCAAAGATTCATTCTCATGATGTGACCAGAGTATAACAGCATCAAATTTATCATCTTGGCTTCCAGGGAAATTTCAGGCTTGATCTTCTCTAGGACCCATTTGTTTGTCTTCTTGGTTATCCATGGTATCCTCAGCACTCTTCTCCAGCACCACATCTCAAATGAATTGATTTTCCTCCTATCCATTTTCCTTACTGTCCAGCTCTCGCAACCGTACATGGTAATAGGGAAAACAATGGCTTGTATGATTCTAACTTTTGTGTTCAGTTGAATATCTTTACATTTTAGGATCTTTTGTTATATCACCTGATCAAGAGAAATGAGTCTTCGACTGCATAAAACTACTCAGTGAAAGGAACACTGAACTGTAGGTGCTACACTTAGAAGCAGAAATATATTCCTAATTCATTCATGCCAGGAACATCAGCATAACAGATTGGCTCAAAATTATTTGTCACTTTAGCTGGTTCCTGTAACTTTTAGTTGGGTCAGAGAAGATGCTTGCTGCAAACACATAGAAGATGCTTGCTCCAAAGTCATTCTTCATTTCATGCTTGCTCATATTTTATGATTTCTTTAATTAATGCTTTAAATTCTACAGAGATTAAGATTTGGGGTGATACTTCTACGGAAAAAGTTCATATGGTATCATATTTTCATAAATTCCTTGTACCTGGATTGTGTTCCATGCTATGCTGGTGTGGCAAATTATGCAGTGCTGGATTTGTTTTACTGTGATTTTTATATTGTCCTTTACAACTAAACTGTGCTGTGTACCTTCAGGTATCTACCGTATTTCTTTTTGTATAAAGAAGTTGTTTGACAAATAACCCAGCTTAGTATTGAGTGAAATATCATTATTTGCAGAAATATAATGCATACTGTTTCTTGCTTTTGGCTTCATGTTTTCACTCAGAGGACTCTTGTTGGAGAATTTGAACATCCTGGTTGGGAAGGAGGAATTGGAGAGTACAAGACTGGAGGAGCCATTGGGAGGAGACAGTAATAGCATAGACACAGTGATTAACAATTGTCAGCAAGGGAAATATAGGAAGAAAACACATTTGAACCTTCTATCATAATAAATCTGAGTCAAGATCAAGCTCCTGAATACTGAGGCTTATAAAAGTTGGCTTTCAAAAGGTACATGGCTAGGCTATAAGGTCCTCCCACGTTTTCAGTGTGACCCCAATGGTGTCCAAGCTGCTACCACTAGTGAACATCCTTTTAGCTTTTGCCAAATTTTACAACTTTCATGAAATTCTTTTGCAAAGCAGACTCTCCCCATTGCTTGGGGGTGTGTGGAGCAAGATTTCCTTGTGGAAGGCAATGGCCGAGTTCCTACATACATGTAATCTCTGCACATGTAATTTTATGTCCTCCCACTGACCACAGCTGGCAAGCCTTGCTGCTGTTACTGGTGGGAGTGAGAAGAGGGGATACAGAGCATAGAGAAGTAGTTTGCATCAGCTTAGTTGGGGAGGGATGAGGAGGCACTTCCAAATGGAGTGCACCTTCCTCTTCTCCTAGGAGCTCAGAGCTGCTGGATTCTCATGGTCTGAATTCTCCTTTTACCTCTGGGGAAAAGGAGCAACAGGAACCCCTCTATGACTTGACAGCTTTCATGTGTTGGAGGGGTTTGGATATAATGCAAGATCAAGAAAATAGCCCTCTGCAACCTATCCAAAAAGGGGCATACCTTTATGTAAGCTACACTTCTGAGTCCCATGTGGGATACGCTTCTCATGTGAGTCACTAACAGGATGACAGGCAGTGTGTGGAAATTATTTCTCCTGCATACCATCTTCTCACATAAAGAGTTTGTTGAAGTTATCAGGGGAATAACCATCGCTTCCGTATGTTCCAGTCCTCCACATGAATGTGTTTCTGTGAGACTATGTGAAGTGTGTGTGTGTTTGAATGGGTGGGGAGAAAACTGTGTGTGTGTGTGTGTGCGTGTGTGTATGTATGTGTGAGAGAGCTGAAAGAATGTCAATCTCAGGTGTGGATACTACCAGCTCTAGTCAGTTTCTACCACGTTGCAACTTGTTGTTGTGTGCTTTCAAGTTATTTCCAACTTATAGAGACCCTAAGGTAAACCTATAATGGGGTTTTCTTGGCAAGATTTGTTCAGAGGAGGTCTGACATTGCCTTCTCCCAAGGCTGAGCATATGTGACTCAACCAAGGTCAGCCACTGGGTTTCATGGTTGAGCAGGGAATCGAACCCTGGTCTCTAGAATTGTAGTCCAGTGCGCAAACCACTATGCCAGGGGCAGGCAAACTGTTCCCTTTAAGGGCTGAGGGACTTCAGCTCCCATAATCCCTGACTATTGGCCAACATGGCTGAGGCTTCTGGGAGCTGAAGTCCAAAATCCCTAAGAGGGCTGAGTTTGCCTGCCCCTGCACTACGCCATGGTGGCTTGCTGTTATATTTGGTCCTACGGATTAAAAGTTGCCCACCTCTGCTTTAAAACAAGGAAACAATGGCACATGTTGAACTGAAACCTGTCCCAGCTTTGCATCGCATGGACACAAAGAAAGATAAACTGACTATGTACAGACATGGGACAGAAACAAATATATTTCCAGTACAAAAGGGTTTTATTATTGGCATGACAGGTGAAATTCCAAGAGAACATGTAAAGTAAATTCTGCCTTTACTCTTACAAACTTGCTTGCAAAAATCTTGGGCTGAATATTGTCATAGGATGGTCAGAGCAAAATGCCCAATAATTCACCAGGTGGCCATGGAGCCCTTTCTTAAGGAATCTGTGTCTATTCATTTTATAAAGGTGTCGTAGTATGACACAGCCCTTTAACAGAAGATAAGGTAGACATTTGCATCAGCTGTGCCCACCATGAACACTGAGTCGGTACAATTTTCTGTTAAGGGAAAATAATGTAGAATGGGAGAGAGAAATCTTTTTTCTTTTTCTTTTTCAGGTGAGTATCACTTAAAAGATTATTTCAGACAGAAGAGGCCAATGAGTATATCACATGGGCCATTCTCTCCCCAGAAGTTATTGCTGCTCCTTTTTGCCTGATAACTATAGTGTATTAATCCTAAAAGCAGGTAAAATGCCCTGAATTCCTAGTGTGTATGTGTGTGCATCAAAAATGAAAAGTGGGAGAAGGTTTCTATAATATATACAATAGTTTATGTAATTAGAGATGTTCTTTTTTTGCATAATCCCACCCAAAAAAAGTTATCAGGCAAATAACCACAGATAGCTTAGTATGATGGCTCTGGAGTTTGCTTTTTTAAACAGAAAACAAAAGCCTGCACAAATCATTAGCTCATACTGAAAGTGGAATGCAAAAATCAAAGCAACAAAAAGAGAAGAAATAAACCAAACTACCCAATAATATGGGCAATTGAAATATTTAATGTAGTTCATAACTGAAAGTAACTGGGCAGGTATTCCCAATTCTTCCCATTATTGCCACATTCCATTCACTTTTCAGAAAGTGAACATAGACTATATATATATATATATATATATATATATATATATATATATATAAAACATATATATATGTTTACCTTGAAAAGGCATGTATTTTAGCTTTTAAGCCAGTACTGTACAGAATTGTGCAATCTACTGTATGAATATAACACAGGAAACTCAGCATGTAACTATATAAAGTTTACAGTCCTAACCCAGAGATCCTGTTTTGCAGGTGGCAAGGATGTTAAACATACAGAATATAATCTTCAAATAGCAATACCTTGCAGGATACAGATGAAATAAAAGCAGATTCACTACTTTACTTTCCACATGTGGAAACCGAAAGAAGATCCTGCCTCATGGAAACCCCACGCAGACTAGCAAAGCAGACCTGAAGATTAGCCTCTGAGTATATAAGGTGATGCAAACATAGAAACAGCCACACTAGCTATATGGTACGGATAGCCAGTCAGTCTGTCCAAATTGGCTATCTGCTTCTTAATTCAATGGAAAGTATGTGTCTCCACAGATGCATCACATGTAGTACTAACTCTTTTGTACACAGGTGCCTCTGGATCAAGTCCAATATATTTAATATTTATTTACAAAGTGTGCAGGTGCACACACACACACTTTCTGTAGTGATACCCCTGAATATAGTTAATAAAACATTTTCAAATTAGAAAATCATTTATGAAGCTATCACCTTCCACATCTAAAGTTCAATATAATCTAATATTTTCATTATAAACAGTTTATTTACATAGACATTAAACTGTGGTCCCATAGATACATTATTACCGAGAAAGCCATTTAAAAATTATTTACACTTAGGAATGAATTTGACCTCCAGGATAATTGATTATGCAAAGAGAAGGGGAGGGTGGGTGGGTGGGAAGGAAAACGGTAGATGGATATATGTTTATTAATATTTTTCAAGTTGTATTTTTTTGTGTATGTTCCAAATTTCTTCTTTTGAGTCACTGACTGCCTCTATTTGCCTTGTATTGCTGCTGCTTCGTTTAGTTTTCTGAGAAGACTGGCTGACTTTATTTTTGGGCACAGGAAGAAAAGATTTCACTCTTGAAACACCACTCTTCAAAGACTCAGTTTTTGATTTACTGTTGCTGCATTCCACGGTTTGACTGCTGCTGAGAAGACGGATCCTAGGATTCCCATCCTGTTAACACAGTAACATTTTACGGTATGAATGCGTTTACTCCTGACAGAAGCAAGAAACAAAACTGTATGTTCAACAGCCCCTCAGTTCATGCAAAGCTTCCAATGCTAGCTGTAACAGATGTGTTGAATGAAATGGAACAATTTAGACTGACTTTAGATGATAATGGAAAGCCCTGTGTTGCAGTCTGCTGAATTTTAGACTTTGCCTCTTTCTGCTACTGGGTGAGGCAGTCCTATAAATGTTTGTTGGGAAATAAATCACAGTGTAAGTAATTTGTTCCCACAACTTATTATGCTGTTTGAAAAGGTATTATCATTTGTCAGTGCTCATAGCAATATATAAACAGTTGCTTATTGTATTTCTCAGTGAATTGCTCATTATTTTTATTTTTTTTTATTTCAATAGTTTTTTAAAAACACCACCACCTTAGAACTGATGTCATAATATCTGAAAAATTACTGCCAAACTGTCTCTAAAAATGACTTCAAAAAGCAACTACCGTATTTTCCGGCCTCCGGCGTATAAGATGACTGGGCATATAAGATGACCCCCAACTTTTCCAGCTAAGAGCTTGGGATATACTCGCCGTATAAGACAACCCCTCTTCCAACGCACACCAAATAAAAATTAAAAAACCTCATCAGATTTGATTTCAATATGGTAATTTTAATTCAAATGCTTATGA